CAGCAGCCATGGCCCATGGGCCCAGCCGCTCCATGGCATGTGGGATCCTCCCAGACTGGGGCAGGAACCCGCGTCCCCTGCATCGGCAGGCGGACTCCCAACCACTGTGCCACCAGGGAAGCCCCAGGTTTTTTTTATCTTTATAAGTCTTTACCTGATTATAAACTCAATTTATACTTACTTCAGAAAATACTTAACACCTTAAAGTTGAAAATAAAAGTCACAACTAACGTCACTAGAGATGTTAGTAACTTTGTGAATTGTCTTCCAGTGTGTATGAAGGTGAGATGCTCTGATGCACACATAACTACATTGCTCAGCCTCTTGCATTTAAGGGAGAGGAAGCAAATGCTTAGCTTTTGCCGAGGGGATGTGAGCAAAAGTGACGTGTCATTTGTGGGCCAAGGCAGTTGACAGACAGTGTCCTGTCCATGCTATTTCTCTTCCCATCTGCTACCTGGACGGCGCCAGCAATCTTGTCATATGCTGAGCTTGTCAGAATCACAGAGAAACTCACAGCCACGACCACTGCATTGGGCTACAAGTAAAAGGAAGTATATGCTAGTTTAAGAAGATATGTGCCCTGATGTATAATATGCCCTAGATATTTATAATTCACACACCTGTCTTAAGCTAAAATAAAAAATTAAGCTGTTCTTTTCAGTGGATAAATCTTTGTAATTCATTTTTCATTCAGGCAATGAGTATCCCACAATCATCCCACCCAAGAGTAAGACATAGCTGGCGACTATAGCAAATATAAAGATATATAAAATTATGTCCCATACCTTCCATTGGTAACATAATGCTTAGACAAAATAGCTATAGTTCAACACAGTGTATTTTAAGCACATACAGAATCCCTCTTTCTTGAAATAACAAAATTTCTAGTCGTCGCCAATAAAACATACCAATGCTATTCTCAACACTCTCCACTCTTATTCTGTTTACAATTTGTTCCCAGCTGCTCAATGTGAACATAGCACTTTCTAACTACTCCACTTGCCACCTTTTCCCAGTATCAGTTTATTATTCCCTACATTATAATTTCTTTGCCAGTCTAGCATCCCCCCTTGAGCAAGAATTTCCTTCTTTTCCTTCAGAGGTACTCTTACCATCATTTATTCATTTAACAATATTTATTGGGCACCTACTAAATGTCAAAAAGTTGCTGGATCTATTTGTAGTTTTTTAAGGAACCTCCATACTGTTCTCCACAGTGGCTGTATCAATTTACATTCCCACCAACAGTGCAAGAGGGTTCCCTTTTCTCCACACCCTCTCCAGCATTTATTGTTTCTAGATTTTTTGATGATGGCCATTCTGACTGGATCTATGCAGGTGAATGTAATAGGCATGATCCCTGCCTTGAGAGTTAGACAGATAACATTCAATAAACAAATAAAGATAATAATAAAAACTGTAACAAGCATGACCAAGTGAAAAAAAGTGGATATAACCAGAAATGATATAAGAAGGAAGCCTACTTTAGAAAAGTCACAGTAAGCCTCTCTGAAGAGAAGACATTAAACTAGGGTCTAGCAAAATTAGAAGAGACTGATTGAGGTGGGAAGGAGTAGCTGGAGATAGTTCCTAAACTTCAGTGGCAAGTGAAAAGGCCCTGAGGCAGAAAACAATAGGTTTGTTGCAAGAATTAAAAAAAGACAGAGTGGCCAAAGACAAGTATAACTCCCATTCTACAAAGCTCTTCTCAGAAGAGGGCAAGACGAGCAAGACCTTTCCTTCCTAACCTAACCCTTGATTTATGCAAACCCCCAAAACATGAACAAAACCCCCATTAACAGGATAAACCATATTACCAATACAGAAATATTTCAAGTTTGTTACCAATGGGCATCTATTTATTTAAAATAGAAAGTTAAAAATTCCAGAAGCTATAGAGGGTCAAATGTTTCATTAACCAAACTAGAACTACTTTGGAAATTACCATTAATGATGTATTCAAAGAAAAAAATACTCCTTGTTCAATTCCCAGTAGAAACAATAACCTAGCAGCTATACCTAGGCCTGGATATTTCTTGTTGGCATTAGTTTTTTAATCAGAATATCTAATTATTTCCTTATTTGCAGAGAAAGTATGACATAAAAATATAATTATTCTTTTACTCATCTTGTCTCCAAATATTGCCCCACATACTATTCTGTGTGTGATTATCACTGCATGGTGAGAAGTAATTTTAACCATATTTCTAGCATTTGGAGCATAACTTTTTAATCCCTTGGATCACAGTAAATATGTGCAAAATGTCTCCATTTGCTGCTACTTCACAGCTATCATATTTACTACTGTATTTTTTCGTCTTGCAGAAATATTGCCAGTCGTTGGCAGGGTAATGTTCTTTTCTCCAGCAACACCTGTCCCTAGAGAAGCAATAAATCATGACTGACTCCCCAAGTGCTCTTCTCAGAACTTCTGTTTGGATGGAAAGAACCTATCAATTTTTATTTTCTAACTACATTGGTGATTAGAAGGGAGATAAAAGGTTTACTAACCATCAGTAAAATAGGAAAAACAAGCTATCCCTGAAACTTTTCAGCTTATAGAATATTGAACTTTTCTTAACAAACATGAATTTGCAAATCAAAATTCACAGCTCAATTATTCATTTGAAGGGCAGAGAACTTCTAATCAGAAAAGAAACAGTGCATTAAAGAAAATATTCTTTGAAAACAGGACTATTATTTTATTATATAACAAGAAAGATGGATGATTTTTTAGTTTATAGATTAGTGGTTAAGAACGGGGGCTGTGGGTGTACACAATGCTGGGTTTAAACCTTGGATATGCCAACCCTAAGTGACCTTGAGCCTCAGTTTCCTCATCTGTCAAATAGTTTTTATTGCATAGAATGTTTGGCAAGATTGACTAGAATGATATATATGAAGTGCTTCGAATGCTGATCAACAGAGGGTAGCTATAAATCCCAAGTTACTTAAAATAGCTAAACATACATATAGTCATCCCTAGGTATCCTGGGGGATTGGTTCCAGGACCCCCATGGTTACTAAAATCCATGGATGCTCAAGTCCCTTATTAAATGGCATGGGGCAGCGGGGCTTCCCTGGTGGCACAGTGGTGAGAGTCCGCCTGCCGATGCAGGGGACACGGGGTCATGCCCCGGTCTGGGAAGATCCCACATGCCGCGGAGCGGCCGGGGGC